GTCACGAAGAGTCGGACACGACTTAACGACTAAACAACAACAACAATTAGCACTGAGTACTAACCTAAGTATCCTGGGTCCACAACAAAAATGGTGCCATTTGGTAATTTGGAAGCCCCTTGCATAGACACGCTTGTAAATCAGTTAAGGATCCAAAAGTTTGAAAGAGATAACAAATTAATATTAGTTGTTGTATCAGTAAAATCTGTGATTACCTAATTTCTAACATTAGACTCAAAGAAGTCACAGTGAAGATTTGTTACAGTAACATCTATTCTATTCTCTGCTGTTTGAACAAGTCAGGAGTAATGCTACTTCATGAGTAGTAGTGCTAGCGTTGAGTATCCTGGAAAGGTAGAGGCCTCTAAACCCAGGGTGGCTAGTTCAATGAACATTTTTATTACATATTGTGCTTAATATGAAAAACCACACACAGAAAGGATATTTTTGTGGGAAAGTACGAGATTTGCCTGTCCCCGCTGCAATGCAGTAACTGTGCACGTCGCCTGATCCAACCTGGCAACTGGCCAGCTTGTTTCTCCCCCAGGGCTGAGGGAGCTGTTCTGAAGTTGTAGCTCATACTGATCTGAAGGCATGATTAGTTCTGTCCAAAATTCAAGACAACACAAGAAACAACCAAAGCAAAAAAGGTGTCAGTGTTTGAATGCTGCCAACAGAAAAAAAGCAATACATCAATGGATTTGTGCTTATCAAAGACCTTTTAAAAGAAAAACATAACATACAAATGTTTGCTTTGTACTATAAAATATCACCTTACCTATTTACTTATAAAGAGCCACAGTACAAAGTTACCAAAAAAGTAACAGGACAGTAACAATTTTTCTTATGGTTGAAATCCTTGCTGCTAAAGCCATAGGTTTTAGGGAGAGAGAAATAAATGGATTCACATGGTTTTTTTGTTTTAAACTTTCATTATAATTATATTACTATCATAGGTGTATTAGTATATAGTATTATAGTATATAGTATAGTATTATAGTATAGTATTATATTACTATCATTTGCTTTATTCAGTCTCTAAGACAGACCTGCTTTATTTATGTTGGCTTTCTGTTCTCCAAAGCAGATCTCTTCCGCCCTTTGGCACATATTAATGAGTTTATCTAAGCCTTTAGATATAACAGAGCCAAAGTAAATAACAGATGCTGACTGTGGTGAAGTGAAGATGATCTGACATGTGGTTTTATTAATAAACTAGAAAAATATAAATATACATTTTGCATGAATATTTTATCAATGGATTTGGATCCAAGCCAAATTTGCTGTATTTTAATCCAATGGAAAATATTTTAAGTGATGAGTTATTTCTCCCACTGATTTGGGGTAAATTAAGTGCAATTATCCTAACCTGGATTAAAGTCAATATTACCTCTATTTTAATTTTTGGCTTAGAAGTACTTCTAAACCTTGAAAATGAGTTTATGTTTCTTACATGAATTCATTAATGCATATTTCTTACCATCTTTTCCACTTAGGGTAACTTCTTGTAATTTATCCTTTAAGAAAATTAAATTTAAGAGGGGTTCATGAACCATAAAAACCAAGTCCAAATAGCAACTCAGTTGAGTGAAATCTTTAAAAAAAAATTTACAATTGGGAAAGCTAATGTTTTTAAACCAACTTGCAGAAAGACTTTATTGGTGTTCTCACAACAGAGCAATCTCTCCTGATCTCATATATATTTCCATTGAGCTCCTTTGAAGAGCAGGATAGAAAAGTGTTGAACACTGAGTTTATTCAACTTAAGTGATTTTATAAGTATCAAAAAGGAATCCTTTAGATCAAATAGGAACTAAAGTATGAAAATGTTGCTTCCCCAACTCTTTAGTAGAACAGGCCAATAACATGATAGAAACTTGATTCCAAGCCAGAATATACAATTCAGATATGGGTCCGTGTTATTTAATTTTTCAAGCAACCCTTACTGCCCCAAGTAACAGAAGACTAAGGCACAATTAACACAATGCTATTTTTCTCTCTTCTCCCCCCCCCCCCAACACCATGGGTTGACATTTGTAGGAATTTATTCAGGTTGATATGATGAAATTTAATTGAAACAGTCTTTCAACTCACAAAATATTTTGATGAAATCTGTGCCAGACTGAATACTAAAGGACACAGAAATCTAACTGAGCAATGACTCATGAAGTCTGTTATGACCTTATTAACATAAACATATTTGTACCATTATATACAGTAGATCTACAGGAAGCATATGTAAAGTATTGCAGATGGACAAAAGACAAACCTGTAATTTTCCCTCGCCTAATTTTCATGACTTTATATTGTACTGACATTCCTACCAGGAGATAGATATCATAAGCGGGATTTAAAATGATGTTTTCCAAAATAAACAATCTGACTTCAGCTGCAGGCACATTCTGTTGGTTAAAAGAAGAATTTAATTTAAAGAAACAATCATACACATGCATTTTTAAATTTATAATTAACTTAGTCATAAATATTTAATTTACAAAAATGTATTTTGAAAATACAAAGCTGGCTTCCCCAATCTGACAATGCCACTGACTGTGCTGATTGGTGATGTTTGATGCTAAGAGTCCAATGAGTATAGAAGAGAAGCTGTTGGAGAAGACCAGCAGAGTATGAAGGTACTACTTTGTTCCGGTGTAAGATCAGTTCCTATTATCTTTTGAGAATGAATATCAACAAAATGAAATTAGAAAATAAAAAATCTGCTGCATTTCTTGTATGGCACAATGGTTATAAACTGAAGGTTTCTAATCCCTTACTATAAAATAGCAGAATGGTGTTTTGCGTAAAATACAACATGTTACCTGTGTGTGCACTGTTCATATAAGAACACATTTTAGTCATTATTATATGCTGGTCTGCGACTATAATAATGATTTATTTGATTTAGTTACTATATTTCTAGCCAAAAGTAAAGGTATAATGGTTACTTTATATTGGTTTTAAAATCATATTATTATATACTCCAATTTGTACACTTTATGGTATGTTTTGGGAGTTAGACTAGATAGTGAGTCCCTTACTGCTTAAAATTTGTAAATGATCTGTCTGATCCTTTGCCAGGCTACTTTTCCTCAACAGAAGCTTTAATTCTACTCTAATAATGATATAATTTATGGAACAACAATATAATTTGTTGACAAAGAAAGAAAGAAAGTGAGCGTTGAGCTCTGAAAAGTATCTTTTGAAACCATTTTCCTGGGACAGATATATATGTTCTATTCTCTTCTACTTTCCCTCAAGCAGAATATTTCTAAATAAACAATAACAAAACAAAAATAAGTCTCTAAAGATATCTTGCCCAAACAAAACCAAATCTGAGCAAATTCTACTCTTGAAACCTCTTAAAATATCAGAAAACAAAGTTCATTGATATTTCTTAAAAAAAAAAAAATCCCCAAGCTATATATAACTGAAATGCTGAGAGATTATCTAGTTTAATTTCTACTCTGTGGCTCTTGTAGTAAGTCATTATAAATAAATAATATTTCTCTACCCCCACCCCCCATCGTGGTACCACAACAGGAATGTTTCGGGAAAGTACAAGAGTGAAGTGGCTCTAAGGATGCAGGATATGCCTGATCCTGCAGTTTGGGAGTTTTAAGTGTCTTCCGAGGCATTTAGTGGCCTGGAATGCTTCCCAGATGATAGAATGCAAGCCAAGGAGCACACTAGAAGTACTCTGAGGTCTTTACAGGCCTGTTTACTCGGGAAGGAGTAAGACACTGTGAGCTGCAGATATCACCTAGACCTGGGAACTACATCCTTGCTCTGGGATGCTGTTTAGCCCTTGGCACTAGAGTTTTGGAAGGTTTCAGTCTGCTGATGTCAGCTCTTCAAAGTAGCACAGGTCAGGATACAGACATCTCAAGAAATACTAGAACTCAATAAATACTATTTATTGAAATAGGCTATAATAGCAGAATCTTGAAAGCATGTCAACATTTCCCCTTCTTAGCCTCTTACAGCAAGGAGAGTCAAGGCCTGGAAGGAGAACATGACCTGGGACTGATTGCTGGATTGCATCAGAGTTGATCCCCTAGGAGCTACAAAATGCAGAGGCCTGGACAGTGATGGGTATATCCCAATGTACCTGGGTGACCTCACTGCTTCAGGAACGACATTGGCTTTTGGCTGCAATTCAAGGTGCCTTTAAAGCTCTACAGATCTATTTATCTGAGGGACCATCTTCTTCTGTATTCATCTGTACATCCAGATGATCAAATAGGCTCAGTTCCCTCCAAGGCTCAGGATTGCCACCTGATGGGACCTTAGAAAGGGTGTTTTCCATAGCAGCCCGTTCTTTGGAATGCCTCCTGGTAGAGATTCAGCTTTGTGCCTCTTGTGTTTCAGAAAACGATAAAAGTCTACCTATTCCATGTTACTACAGGTGTAATTCAACTGAAACTAGGATTTGTGGGTGCATGGTGTTTCTTTTCTGGTTTTTTTTCCTTTTTTTCTATGTACTTAGGATTTTGGGGTATTTTATTTTATGCTGACATTATTAGCTGTCTAGAGTTTCAAGGAACGAACAGCATACATGCACAATATATGAATTAATGATTGATTGAATAGGATTACATTTTGTGAAATCAGAAGGTTTAGCACATGGGAAGAGAAATAAAAATAGATCTGCACACAAAAAATAAAGCATCTGGGAGAATGTATTACTGAAATAATGGGGAAAATAAAACCACATGACTCTTTAACAATGGTAATGAACTAGGCTTGGTAAATGCTAATATGTTAATTCACCTAAAGGTTAAAATAATTAAAGTTAAAAGTTAAATTTATATGAATTCATTTTAATGTCTGCTAATATTTGAAGCACCCACTTGTCTAGGACAATAGAAACTTAAAGCAGGGCTGTGACTTCATTCAATGCAATTGCTGAATGGGGTAATTTGGGGTAAATTTATAACTCATCGAGGGGTGAGGAACATCTCTACTTGCCCCAATACTGACATCTTTCCTGAAGCAAATGAACACAGGGGTCTTCCAGAATAATTTTTTAAAAACTCAGCTTTTAGCTTAGTTAAAATGATACCATCTTGTGAAATTTTTCCTTGTGTTGCTAGATTTTTAGATTGCACGTTGGTGTGATTTTGATTTTTGATTTATTCTTTGTGCTGTAGAGTTTAAATCTTTCACTGTGGATGTTTTATATGTTTCTATTATACTGCTGAGAATTTCACAATTGCAGCCGTATAAAAAATTCAATAAATAAATAAATAGCCATGTCTCCAATTCAAAACCCTCCCCAGAGCTATGCTTTTGATATGTAACTTGGAAGCTCAGTATTTTGGAAAGGGAGTTTTGTTTTTTTTAGTACCTTTGGGCACTTGTTCATATAATGGCTTGTGGGAAGGGGAAGCAAATGGAGGAAAGAAGTTCATATGATTCAAGTCTCACAACTGCAGTCTTTTAGATAGGTGCCCCACTGTAGCCAAGGGTTCCTTCTTGTAATTCTCTGTACTCTGCTGATGGAGATGGAAGCCATCTTAACAAGATTTCTGCACAGAGGAAGGGTTAGTTTAAGCCTTTTGCTGACTTCCTGTGAAGGAAGGAAATTTCTCTTTATAGAAATCTGCGTGCACACATGTGGATTCTAGCCCACCGTTATATATGCTCCTCGGGTAAAAAAGCATGTCTATGCTGGTATAAACACAGCTGTAGGCCTTTTGCAGTATTTTAAAGTACATGTTTTGATAACACACTTACACGTGGCATAAAGATGTAAATCCTAAGGAAATTTACATTTACATTATGAAAACCATCCAAAGTTCCTGAAAAGATTCTAGAACAAATTACAAAACATTTGATCAGAAAGCACCTTAGCACCAGCTTAGATTTAGAAGTCAGCATAGATCTGTCAAACAACAATCACCATCTTCCACTAATCTTATCTTTAATTAATTTAACCAGTACTCTGGGGGATCCAATAGTAATGTATGGCTGTGAGAGCTGGACCATAAAGAAGGCTGAGCGCCGAAGAATTGATGCCTTTGAACTGTGGTGCTGGAGAAGACTCTTAAGAGTCCCCTGGACTGCTAGGA